CGTGTGTGTGTGTGTGTGGACAAGGGGAGGAGAGTTTTTCAGAGTCATCTCCATTTCTGCTCTCCGGGAAGAGAGGAAAGTCAACAACAGTAATCAAGAGTCATCAAATCGTTGGATTCACGCTGAGAAAAGCAGATTACTGATTCCTTTTGCACTTTCAAGTGTTGAACTTAAAAAAAGGTGATTTTACTGGAGTAGCTGACCCAAAAAACTCATTATCATTATTTATTCACCCACTCAGGTCATTCTAAACTACAAAGACTTTCTTCTCTAAAGGAGAATATGTGGTATGTTTTCATACGTCACGCTCCAGAAAATAAAGCATCATAAAACATAAGGACGAGTGTCATTTGCAATCATCGACGTACCTAATCAAATGAAATAAGAATGAAATAAGTAATATTATTTTGCTATAAGACAATAAAGGTTATTTTTAAGAGCTTCTGCATTCTGACATTAGCATTTTTCTTTACCAAATTCTCATTACTGTAATGTAAAAAAAAAAAAATCTCATTAGCATATAATAATAATAATAATTATTATTATTAGTCAAATATATTTTGTCAAAACATATTGAAACTGTAAACTATTTACAGTCTACACACATGAAAATACATATTTAAATAATAGCTATTATTATAATTATAATATACATTGTCAAAAATATATTTCAACTGTAATTATTTACGCAGTGAAAAATAATAGTTTACACAATTTAAATTTTTTATAAATATGTATTCATATGAATAAATCAAATAATACATTTGTACTATTATTATTTATAAAAATAACTAATAATAATACACATTCAATATTAAATTAAAAATAATTAGTATTATTGTAATTAGTATAATAAATATATGTCAAATATACATTGTATTTATTGTACTGAATTTCTAAATGTAATTTATATTTGTGATCACACAATACACAACTTCTAAAGTTAATTTATGAATAAAGTATATTTATCAATAACTTCTAAATTATAAGTTAATTTATAAATCAATAAATAAATATAATTTATTTATAAATTAACTTTAAAAATAACCTATAAAAATAAATAAAATTAACCTTAATTTTATATAGATAAATGTTATATTTATAATATTTATTATAATATAGTTAATTCAAATAATTTGTCATCAACTACCCAATTTTGGTCTATTACTCAACGCTCTGATTTTGCTGCACAAGTTATCTTGACTATTGTTATGATATATTTATTTGTGCTTTTGCATCTTCTTTGGAGCCTGACAGCTGTTGACAGCACTATTCGTTGTATGTAAAAGAGCAGCATGAAGATTCAGCCTACTTTTGTTTCCCACTGAAGAAAGAAAGTCATACAGGTTTGAAACAACATGAGTGTGAGTAAACAATGACAGTTTTTGGGTGAACTGTCCCTTTAAGGAGAAAAAACAGACCACTTCAGCAAGTCCTCAGGGTTTTTTTTTTTCTTGAGAGCACTTGAAAGACAAAGAGAAAAGAAAAAAAGACAAGGTAAAGAGAGAGAAAAAGAAAAGAGAGAGGTTCGAGCGGTCACAGTGAGACAGTAAATGTGATTAATTACAGCTATGAGCGCCTCACTGATCCCAGCATGCTTTGCTCCCTTGAGCGTCTTATCTGCGCTGTGGCAGAGCGACACACTGAGCGCATCTCCAGGCCTCTGAAGTTTCTCTCTGGCAACAAAACTCTGTCTCGTACATCTTTACTCACGTTGTGCGAAACATGACTGAAAATAAAAAGAGACGCTCCCTTGGTTGAAATGCATTCTGGGTAAGTCACCCCCCCAAAAAAACACTTCAGACACTTCAAGAGAAAGTGTTTGACTCTTCAAGTCAAATGTGACTGGTGACAAAACATACGATAAAACATGTCTGGAGGTCCCAGCATCTTCAGATCCGATCACTCACATGACTCACAAGTAAGAGATTTTACGAGGACGCTTGGTAGCAAGAAAGCATAAAGTATGCATGCATATTAAACATAAAACACACTTTTGAGCAAATATGTGCGGGTTCACCCAACTTTACTGTCACTGGATGCTCTCGGTGAATAAACTAGTCTAAGAACTAGGATGGTTTGGCAAACAGTATAAAATATGTGTGCTTAAAAGTGAGGATGTGTATTGAGACGTACTCCACAGCGCTCTTGTAGACGTCGATGGCTTTCTCTGTGTCGCCCTGCAGTAAGTGGATTTTTCCCAGCATCATGTAGGTCAGATCGTGTTTATGCAGCTGTAATGCCAAGTTTAATTGCTCTTCGGCCTGAAGACAGAGAGAAAACGTGTTTAACACAACATCAGCTGAGGACATGTGAATTAGATTCTCAAATAAATGATGACTGTCCACTGCCAAATCTGGAATCTTTCATACAGCCAATAAAAGACAAGGAAGAACGTTAAAAATGTACTGCAGTAATATGGCAAATACTGATTAAATCCTGACTGACCACTAGCTGCACTTACACTCTTGAAGTCTTTGGTGTAGATGTAGCAAACACCCAGATTATGGCTGATTTCCTGCAGATAAAAATAATCACACATTTATGTAATATTTCATAAGCATCTCATTTGTTTATTGTCAAACAAAATTACAGTTGATTAAAGAAAAAGTTCTCACACACACACACACACAAATAAACAATAATAATAATAATAAATCCATGTCACACCAGAACTGTGGAACAAAAAAGCTATAATCTAAAGAATATACTATTTTCCGTATAATAAAAGTGAATGGAAACTGGGGCTGTTAAGATGACTCTAAACTCAAATTTAAACAATAGTACATAAAAACAACTAACTAATTAAATAAAATACACAAAAATATAAACCCTAACTCCTAACTTAATAATTTAAAATAAATAAAAACAAAATAAACAAAAATATAAAGTATTAGCCCTATCCCCGCACTTAACTATAAATAAATTATAATAATGAAATACTAAATAAATAAACCAATGAATCAATACAATAAAAAACAAAAAAATTAAAAAATTAATAAAAGTATAGAAAAAATAATAATAATAATAAAAAAGCTGAATAAATGAAAAAAACCTGATGAAAAAAACCCGTAATCTTTAATATTAAAGTGAAAACAAAAATTATAAAATTAAAATATAATTCAAAATATAAACAAAAAATATAATAGTATATCAATGATACTCAAATATCACTACTAGTTTCACATACTAGTATTAAACAGTAGTATGCTGTACACAGTATACTGTGCAGTAATCAGTACACTAGTGATCCGTTCCAAACATAGTCGATGTGTCCCAGTTTATCCCAGTGAAAACCTGCTGTGGATTTGTGTGTGCAGCTCTGATCATGCGGTTAGAAGGGAAGATCCAGCAGTCTCTGGAGTTGTTCCAGAGTTGTGCCATCCTCAACCCCAAAATGGAAAATAATTGTCTCTAAATTAAAATTTAAATAAATAAAATAAATATAATAAATAATAGAGTACAATAACTAATAATAAGTAACTAAATAAATACATAAAATAGACAAAAAAAAATAATATACACCCTAACTGCCAACTTAACAAATTTTTATAAATAAAAAAATAAAATATACAAAATTATAAACTATGAGCCCTAACCCCTACTATTTAAATAAATAAATAAATACTGACTTAATCTTTTAAATAAATAAATATAAACACTGATCCTAACTTAACCATTTAAATAAATATGTAATATATATATATATATATATATACTGTCATTGTATGTAATTTCCACGTAAGGGTCTGGAACAACAATAGAGTGAGTACTGAGTAAATAATGAGAGTATTTTCATATTTGGGTGAACTAACCCTTTAAAGACACATTGATCAGACAGCACTCAGGACAGAGGATGTGTACTTACCCAGTCTTTCTGATTGAGACGTGCTGCTTCATTATAAACCTCAATGGCAGCTTTGTGTTTCCCTAACAGGAAACTAAACATAGAGTAAACACAGTTCATAAAATAACACTTATCTTCAGCAATTTTCTGTTCAGTTTCAACAATGGTGGTGTGTGTTTGGCCTGGTGCTTACAGGGATCGTGCCACTTGCTTGAGGTTGTCTGAGCTTTTGGGGTTGAGGATGGCACAACTCTGAAACAACTCCAGAGACTGCTGGATCTTCCCTTCTAACCGCATGATCAGAGCTGCACACACAAATCCACAGCAGGTTTTCACCGGGATAAACTGGGACACATCGACTATGTTTGGAACGGATCACTAGTGTACTGATTACTGCACAGTATACTGTGTACCGCATACCACTGTTTAAAACTAGTATGTGAATGTAAAACAGTGTTATTTGAGTATTACTGATATACTATTATAGTTTTTGTTAATATTTTGAATTAGATTTTAGTCTCTAAATTAAAATTTAAATAAATAAAATAAATATAATAAATAATAGAGTACAATAACTAATAATAAGTAACTAAATAAATACATAAAATAGACAAAAAAAAATAATATACACCCTAACTGCCAACTTAACAAATTTTTATAAATAAAAAAATAAAATATACAAAATTATAAACTATGAGCCCTAACCCCTACTATTTAAATAAATAAATAAATACTGACTTAATCTTTTAAATAAATAAATATAAACACTGATCCTAACTTAACCATTTAAATAAATATGTAATATATATATATATATATATATACTGTCATTGTATGTAATTTCCACGTAAGGGTCTGGAACAACAATAGAGTGAGTACTGAGTAAATAATGAGAGTATTTTCATATTTGGGTGAACTAACCCTTTAAAGACACATTGATCAGACAGCACTCAGGACAGAGGATGTGTACTTACCCAGTCTTTCTGATTGAGACGTGCTGCTTCACTATAAACCTCAATGGCAGCTTTGTGTTTCCCTAACAGGAAACTAAACATAGAGTAAACACAGTTCATAAAATAACACTTATCTTCAGCAATTTTCTGTTCAGTTTCAACAATGGTGGTGTGTGTTTGGCCTGGTGCTTACAGGGATCGTGCCACTTGCTTGAGGTTGTCTGAGCTTTTGGGGTTGAGGATGGCACAACTCTGAAACAACTCCAGAGACTGCTGGATCTTCCCTTCTAACCGCATGATCAGAGCTGCACACACAAATCCACAGCAGGTTTTCACCGGGATAAACTGGGACACATCGACTATGTTTGGAACGGATCACTAGTGTACTGATTACTGCACAGTATACTGTGTACCGCATACCACTGTTTAAAACTAGTATGTGAATGTAAAACAGTGTTATTTGAGTATTACTGATATACTATTATAGTTTTTGTTAATATTTTGAATTAGATTTTAATTGGTTTTCACGTTAATATTAAAGTTTTTTTGCATTTTTATCATTTTATTCAGCTTTTTTTTTTTTTGCTGTTTTATATGTCTATAGTTTTTGTTCATTTTTATTTATTACTTTTAGTTTATTTAGTTTGAGTTATTTTAGTACTTCAATTTAAACTAAATGAAAATGAGAAATGTTACCTTGGCAGCTCGCGGAAAATATTTAAATATTTAATTTTATTTCATTAATTCTATTTCAAGCAATAAAACTGTTTTTTTTTAATGTTTTTAGTTGCAGTTAACGATGTAAAACAGTGATTTCAAACATTAGCATGCTACAATGTCACATGACATTACGATGCATGTTTAATTCAGCGAGTGGTGTCCAATTATCACACATTTTACAATATTTTTTGTATCTGGTGCATTTTGGCAATTGTAGTATGTAATTTCGGGTAATTCATGCATATTGATATTCATAAACTATGTAGATGTAGCATGCTATTATCTCATTTTGCACATCTGAGACTGACTCAGTCTGACCACATTAGAGTAATTTAATACATTTACACTGTTAGAGTCGGTTTATTGTGTAGTTTACACTAACCTTGCACATACACAGCATATTCACACATGCCTTGAGTTTCATGCAGCTGTTCTTTAATAATGGCCTGAAATCAGAAGAAACGCATATCAATTAACATTATTAAGAGTATTATACCGCAGGTAGGAACTTCTGGTTTTACCTTGCAGGTCTCATAATCTTTGCGGATATAATGCAGATGTATAAGCCAGTTTCTCCTCTCCAAGATCGGAAGATCAGGAGCTGCAGATAGAAGAAAAACATCTATATATGTATGTAACAATGCACAAAAGAATCTAGACATTTAAAATAAATAGAGTGTCATTGCAGATGCTGCAGGGTGTTATAATATTCACTTTGTTCAATGTGATTGAATCAGCTGGTTTTAGCATTTCAAACCAAACAAACTTCTGTCTGTGAAATGTTTTGCTTGTAAAGTTGATTGTGCACCATTCTTTACAATAAAAGACACTTGCTTTGATATGTCATATGTAATGCAAGGACATTCAAACATTTTAAAGTGTGACTTAACTGTTCAAAACTTTTTAGACCAGAGATTAACGAGATTCCGGCTGTTTCATCTTGTGTAGGACATTAACTGGTCTAATCATGAAAATGCAAATATCAAAGGCGGCATTGAAAATCTGCAGAAAGCAGCTTCTATTTTGGATATAGAGGGGATATAGACGGGCTTGCTGTGAGCTGCAGCAATCTCTTCTCGCAATGGGGGGGCCGCAGAAGACTCCTCGTCCCGAATCTAGTGGGCCTCAGAACAAAAGGAGCCTGTGCTCTGCAACATGAAGCATCTGCATCTTTCTCCTCTTGCTTACAAGCCCCCTGGCAAAATCTGATCTCAATCCGTTCTATTCCTAGACAGACTTTTCCCTCTGAGCCATAATCCTCTTCACTGAAAAATGGGGCCGAAGGGGAAAATAAAGGCAAACAGCGCCACCCACAGGATGAACAGATACAGCGGCGTGAGCGGCGTGAATGCTAGTTTGGTTTCGCAGTATTTTATCATTCAAAACTGAATTTTTAAGTTATTTATATTATTAATATATACAGACTCCGGACTCTGAGATGCTGACCTTTCTTTGGACGAGGTTTCTTGAGGTCTGTGGCCACAGGCAGCTGCACATCCTATACAAAAAATGTAAAAATGTAATACATTAACAGAGTCAATCAAATTCTGTGTGCTGGAATTAATATTTTTCAGCACACCATTTTTATATTTATATTTACATATTCACATACTTTTGTCTCTTTAATTCATCCTTTTACATGAACTCTCTTTCTGTCTATTTTTTAATTATTATTATTATTTATTTATTTAGGAGCAGAAATGACCTTACTGTTGTGCACTTGATTAATTAACGCTGACTCATATTATGGATATTTAATATTATGTAATGAGAAATTATAATAAACTAATTTTCTGACATTTTTTTAAATTAAAATCAGAATGAACACATTTAACAAATACCACCATGATTTATAAATAATTTACATTAACATCACTTTACTTTTATTAAAGTATTGACAATTTGGGGTATAATATGTGCTTAAAAATATGTCAGAATGCAAGAAATCTTAATGGTCCTAAAATAAACTTAATATTCTTTATGTAAAGCTCATTTTCAATCTTCTTTGACAGGCTTTGCTGTTCAAGATTAAACGAAATATGAATAAAATATACCTTTGTTATTTAAAACGTCAATCTGTCAGATTGTTTTCTCTTTGCAGACGTATTTAATATGACGAGCAACTAAATAGCACAAGAACGAAGAACAGCGGTTATAGACTATCATAAACCACCATAAAGAAGATCTTTGTTCACATTAAAGGTATTAAATATCAAGAGTTTTTGTGTTTTAATGAAAATAACCATAATTTCTCACCGTTTTCATCGCGTCGTCCGCCATCGCGCTCCTTTTCTCCTCACTTCCGGCGGACGCTTCTGTCACTATGGCAACACCGCGACGTCCGTGACCACGTGACTCCACCATCCACACGTTTTTTTTATTTTTTATTTTTTTTATTGAACTTTCAAAATTACAGAATTCAACAGCAAGTTCTTGACACATTTACTCACATTTACACATTTTGTAGGTACAAATTGAAACACAATTTAAATAAAAAATTATAAAACTTAAAAGATAAAGAAAAATGAATGGGCAACTTTTCGATTTTTTTTTTTTTTACTTTACAGATTCTAAATAAACTGTTTAAAAATGAGCAAAATTGGGTTTTGAGCTACTCCATTTAGTTTGATGAATATCATTTTTTTCTAATAACAAAAACAAATTAATAATAAATATTTTTATTTTTAGAAAAGTCATATTCATTTGAATGAAGTAAAACAGATGATAAATTTAATAGGATGCAGTTCATATCAACACTTAGAAATTGTGACATCTCAGACCAAAACAAAGATGAATGATAGACTCTCCAGCATACAAATAATTACCAGTGGTTAAGGCTTAAATGTTTTAACTAAAAAACACCATTATAAAATACCATTATGTATGTACACCCATTACATATTAGACAATGAGAATTCTGGTCGATTGCTTTACTAGAATTATCTGACATGCACAACTTTATAAGACAAATTGATAGATAAAGTCTCTCTCAAAGTCAAACTATAGAGCATTGGTTTAATTCAGACAAAGGTGTGCAAAATACACAAAGGAATTATTTTCATCCAGTTCACAGCAAATCATCTGAAGAGGTTAAACAACAAAACACAGTCATGACACATGGATGCTGAGAAGGCCATCTTGGTTAAGATGTGAGCTACAGCAGATCTTTCGAACATAACATAATTAAACTCGATAAACTCATCCTATAGCCTATGATTGTCAACTAAAAGCTTTACAAATAGACATGGATTGTTACAAACACATTTACTGGCCATCATTTTTATATACTTAATTAAACAATTAAACACACACACAAACAAAAAGAAACATGCTTGGATAAAATCCTGTCTGGTTCCTTTATGCATTTTCATGGGAAGTAACCTCAACTCTGTAATGACAATATACGTCACATTTCAGGGATTTTAAAAGCAGTTTTGGGTCTAATGCACTTGGTACAATGGATAAACACACTCAAAGTGAAAGCAGCCTAAAAAGTGGACATATATACTGCTGTCAGTAAGATTTATAATGTTTTTTAAAGAAGTCTCTTCTGTTCATCAAGGTTGCATTTATCTGATCGGAAATGTTTGGTCAAATAAACGCAGCCTTGATGAACAGAAGAGACTTCTTTAAAACACATTAAAAATCTTACTGATCCCAAACTTTTAAACAGCAGTGCATACAATAATGTATGAAATGTTCCTTGTTGTACGAATTTGACCTTTCATTTATAAACCAGGACTGTAGGAGACATATCGTGTGCATAATAGACACAACAAAACTGAATCTGGCCCCATGTGTAGAATCCAATCTCAATATCACAGCATATAATTAATAAGAGGAACACCTTTAAACATGTACGTGTAAACTGATCCCAGATATGTGGTTTAGGTTAGGTTAGAGTCCCTGATCGACACGCAGGCTGTTATTAGCGTCTGGAACAGTGAGGTAAATACAGTGTCTGGTTGACAGTGTCATTGAAGAGAGTATCAGAGCAGGTTTTTCAGCAGGAGGGGTTTGGCGATCTCCAGGATGTCCAGGTTGGGGTCTAATGATCTGCCCAAACCCTCCAGGACCATGATGGCAAACACTATAGATGCAAAATTACTCTCCAACTTCACCTGCCACAGGAAGTGCAAAACACACATCACTTAAACGTCATAAAACACACAATAGTATCCAAAACACAACGTGTAATCACTACATCACAACAACATTATCATGCATTTTCATTATTTTTGTCACATTAACTAATTGTGCATGTAAGATTTTTAACAAACATTATCTCTGCTTTGTATGTTTTGTATGTTAGTATTTATTTTGCATGCAGTTCCTGTCTGTGCATTATTTAAATAACATTTACTATATTTTATCTCCCATATTTCTTGTGTGTACACATTCAATTATGTTCCAACCTTGACTCAATTATAACCTTTAAAAATGACCTACGGTGGAACAAAACAAGTCAAATATTCACATTAAAATGGAAATGCTTAGCTTTTTATTGCTACTTCCTGTTTACAAATTGAAAGGCTGCTTATTGGATAATTGAAAGGTAGGTGTTACGTTAAGCAGCTAAGTGTTATTTTACACAGTTTATGATCTACTAACATGTGCTAAGATCAGCTGCTCTCACCTTGTGGTGGATCAGTAAACCAAAGACTTGAGACAGCAGCTGGGACACCTGAATCTAGAAAACAACAGACACTGTGTGAAACACAAGTCATGTAAAACAACATTATCAATGTTGAAAACCGTTTTTGCTGCCTAATATTTTTATGGAAACCATGACGCATTTTTTTCAGGATCTCCTTGAATAGAAAGTTAAATGAACAGCATTTACTTGAAATAGAAATCTTTTGTAACATTACAAATGTCTTTACTGCCACTTTTGATCAATTTAACACGGTTTTCTACAAAAATATGAAGCAACTGCTTTAAACATCGATAACAAAAATTTTTTTCTTGAGCAGTAAATCAGCATATTAGAATGAGTTGACAGTGTGAAGAGAGTATCAGAGCAGGTTTTTCAGCAGGAGGGGTTTGGCGATCTCCAGGATGTCCAGGTTGGGGTCTAATGATCTGCCCAAACCCTCCAGGACCATGATGGCAAACACTATAGATGCAAAATTACTCTCCAACTTCACCTGCCACAGGAAGTGCAAAACACACATCACTTAAACGTCATAAAACACACAATAGTATCCAAAACACAACGTGTAATCACTACATCACAACAACATTATCATGCATTTTCATTATTTTTGTCACATTAACTAATTGTGCATGTAAGATTTTTAACAAACATTATCTCTGCTTTGTATGTTTTGTATGTTAGTATTTATTTTGCATGCAGTTCCTGTCTGTGCATTATTTAAATAACATTTACTATATTTTATCTCCCATATTTCTTGTGTGTACACATTCAATTATGTTCCAACCTTGACTCAATTATAACCTTTAAAAATGACCTACGGTGGAACAAAACAAGTCAAATATTCACATTAAAATGGAAATGCTTAGCTTTTTATTGCTACTTCCTGTTTACAAATTGAAAGGCTGCTTATTGGATAATTGAAAGGTAGGTGTTACGTTAAGCAGCTAAGTGTTATTTTACACAGTTTATGATCTACTAACATGTGCTAAGATCAGCTGCTCTCACCTTGTGGTGGATCAGTAAACCAAAGACTTGAGACAGCAGCTGGGACACCTGAATCTAGAAAACAACAGACACTGTGTGAAACACAAGTCATGTAAAACAACATTATCAATGTTGAAAACCGTTTTTGCTGCCTAATATTTTTATGGAAACCATGACGCATTTTTTTCAGGATCTCCTTGAATAGAAAGTTAAATGAACAGCATTTACTTGAAATAGAAATCTTTTGTAACATTACAAATGTCTTTACTGCCACTTTTGATCAATTTAACACGGTTTTCTACAAAAATATGAAGCAACTGCTTTAAACATCGATAACAAAAAAATGTTTCTTGAGCAGTAAATCAGCATATTAGAATGATTTCTGAAGATCATGCGACTCTGAAGACTGGAGTAATGATGCTGAAAATACAGCTTTGATCACAGAAATAAATGACAGTTTAACAAATGTTCACATAGAAACCAGTTATTTGAAATTGTAATAATATTTCACAATATAACCATTTTTATTGTATTCTTAATCAAATAAATGCAGCCTTAGCAGCAGAAGAGACTTCTTTCAAAAACATTTCAAAATTCTTTCAAAAACAAAAATCTCAATTAGTTCAAACTTGACTGGTAGTATATTAAAGGGGTCATATGATGCAATTTCAAGTTTTCCTTTCTCTTTGGAGTGTTACAAGCTGATTGTGCATAGATAAGATCCCTGAAGTTGCAAAGACTAAAGTCTCAAAACCAAAGAGATATTCTTTATCAAAGTGTATTTGAAAAATAATGTGTTTTTTGAACATTAAAGCATGTCAACATATTCTGTTACACCAAATACACAAAATAATGATCTTTAAAAAAGCATCATATGACCACTTTAATTTATAACTAATTACGGAAGTGATGAAGGTGTGTGTAACTCCGTACCTTTCCCAGGGAAAGCGTGTCACTGAGCGCATGATCCACTAGTTCAGCCATTTCCTTCTTGAAACGTGTCACATCCTGGCACTCATTGGCACGGGCGTGATGAAGGATTAGCTCTGCAACTCGCTCACCCTGGCAACACAAGCACATGTTTGGACTCATTCTCACGGCACCCATTCACTACAGAGGATCCATTGCTTAGCAAGTGATGCAATGCTACATTTCTCCAAATCTGATGAAGAAACAAACTCATCTACATCTTGGATGGCCTGAGGGTGAATAATTCTAAAATAACACTGATGCTGATTTCAACAAACAAATCTTGAACATTTCTATTCACAACATATTCATATTCAGAACTGTCAACAAAAGAACCACAATCCCCATAATGTCTTTTACCTGCTTAAGAACGACAGCAGTGAACACGGCTCTGAAGTTGCGTTGATCCGCCTCGCTGAGCTGCGCCACGATCCCTGCATCCAGCAGCACCAGCTGTAGAGGCGGAGGAGTTGGTCTCATGCTGACCACCACAGTGTCGCACAGGTCTGTCAGAGTCGCCCTGTCCTGGGGTGCCTCTCCTTGCCCACCCTTCACCAGGATGTTCCCGGGATGCAGGTCACCGTGGACGAAATTATCCACAAACACCTGCCAGAGATGACCACAGGTTAGATCTCAATGAAACACATACAATTAATCTGACCGTTGTTTAAAGGAATAGTTCACCCAAAATGAAAAATTTGCTGAAAATGTAATTACAAGAAACAAATCCATCATTAAGACGTTTTTAACTTCAAATCGTTACTTCCAGCTAACATACGAGTCCTCTATCCATAATATTGCTTTCTCCAGTGAAAAAGTCGTCTGATTTGAATCAGGAGAGAAATCTGCACAGATCAAGCACCGTTTACAAGCAAAAAAACAGTTCAAAACAAATATGTCAGTAGATTTTGATGTGTCAGGACAACAGGAGATGACTTTTTCACTGGAGGATACGTTATTATGTATTATGGACTCATATTTTGGCCAGAAGCAAGAAGTTAAAACAGTTAACTGATGGACTGGAGTGGTGTGGATTACTTGTGGATTATTGTGATGTTTTTATCAGCTGTTTGGACTCTCATTCTGATGGCACCCATTCACATCCATTGGTGAGCAGGTGATGCAATGCTACATTTCTCCAAATCTGATGAAGAAACAAACTCATCTACATCTTGGATGGCCTGAGGTTGAGTACATGTTCAGCAAATTTTCATTCCTAGGCAAACTATTCCTGTAACTAACCATTTTCAAAAGAAGATCGACACCCATCCGTGCAATTCTCTGCTTGATTTCTTCTGGAACGTCTGAACTCAGGTATTTTGAGATGGGTTCACTTTCCTACAGGAGCATACATCGAAGCATTAGTTCTTCTCAGTGGAATAAAACAGGTTATACAATATTAAAATGATCAAGAGCACAGCCATTTTTACCTCATATGTTTCAACCAACACAGTCCTTGTGACAAACGGTCTGAGGGGCGTCGGAAACTTCACATATTGCAGATCTTTAAAGTTCTTTTGGAACTTTTCGATGTTCTGCGCTTCAAACCGAAGATCGATCTGCATCAAAGAGATATTAAAGCACAAAAATACCTCGTTGCCATGAAGCAGTGTTACACTCTTCTAGTTTATATATATATAGCCTATATGTGACCCTGGAGCACAAAAGTAGTCTTAAGTCGCTGAGGTATATTTGTAGCAATAGCCAAAATTATCGATTTTTCTTTTATGCCAAAAACCATTAGGACATTAAGTAAAGATCATGTTCCATGAAGATATTTAGTTAATTTCCTACCGTAAATATATCAAAACTTAATTTTTGATTAGTAATATGCATTGCTAAGAACTTCATTTGGACAACGATGTATAAAAATTTCAAAAAATTGATCCTTATGACTGGTTTTGTGGTCCAGGGTCACATATATGTATGTATTCCATTATCAGTTGCTATTGTTTATATATATATATATATATATTTAAATTTTTTGTTATTTTAGTTTTTTATTATTATTATTTCAGTTAACATTTATTTCATTTCAAGTAAGAAAGACCTTTTTTTTTACGGTTTTAGTTAACTAAATTTATCCTGCATGGAAGGTTCTTCATAAAAGCATCAGTACCTGTTTGGTCATGAGCTTCTCAAACTCATCTACAATCTCAGGCAGGCTGAGCCACTTGATGCCGGGCAAACAGCTGAGGAATAAACTCCCAGCTTTCATTAAGATCAGATCGATCTGCACCTGCTGCCTGACTCCTGGATGAAGAACCTGGTTGAAGGAAAAATATGCTAGAGAATAATGATTATATTAAAACACCTAATAATAACAGAGACAACCAACAAACATCATTTTAGTCCAGCACCTTGGTGGTTAAGTTTGTTTGCTAGTATAACACCCCAAACCAGTTAACTAGCTAAACAAGAGTGACCATCTTAACCTTAATCCTCTGTTCAGGTAATCTGTGGCCTGAAACGATTTGAGTGTTAGTCCTAAAATTGCATCTTACGTTATTTGACTAGTTTAAGCTGGTTTGATCAGGATTTTTCAATCCAGGGTAAGAACAGCCCAAAAACTAAGAAGAACAGTAATAAACATCTTGAAAAACATGTCATTTAAATTCCAATTGTACCTTTTAAATAAAGAAAAAACAACAAGAAAAATTTGTTAAAAATTGTCAAGATTAAATTAAATAGAATTTGATTATTTTACCTGAAAAATAATGGTTAAAATCAGTCATTTAATAATAAAAAACACCAAAAGAAATGCATAAAATGAATGTCTTTTTTGAGAAAATGGAAGAGGTGAAATCTTCCTTCTGGGTCATTTTACCTTGATAGTCTGACGTATTTCTGTGACAAAATAGGGTATATCATAAGGGGAACAAATAAATAAATAAAAGCTTGGCAGTCTTTAACTTCAAGAATAGCCAAAGCAATCTCTGAAGAATACTAAACATCTCGAAAAGCAAGAAATGTCATTTTAAAAACCTGTTTTACCTTGATAATCGGACATATTTCTGTGACAGAGTATACAATAAGAAAAACCTCAAATATATCAAGTAAAAAGTGTTAAGATTAAACCAAATGTGCTTATTTTAAATTAAAATTAATGATGTCAAGGAGTACTTTAGTGGTAAATAGGGTTGCAAAAAGGTGGAAAATGTCCAGTAAATTTCTGAAATATTCCAGAAATTGTGGAAAATTTCCAGGATTTTTTTTTTTTGGAATATTCCAGGGATTTTTGGAAAGTTTCTGGAAATGTTCCACCCCTTTGCAACCCTAGTGGTAAATACCAAAATAAAATGCATACTTTTATTATTTTAATTTTATTAAAGAAAGTAATGCATTTAAAAAACAAAAAATGTTTAGTTTTTTTTCAAAACTAATTGTTGGCAGGACTTCTCTGGGAGTTGATTGGATCATGAAAAATACAAAAATATGCAAACTGATCCAAATGGTTGGAAGGGGCGGGTTTAAAAAGTAAGAAGACCATGAGCAGGATCTTTACCTTAATTGCCACAGGAATCAGAGGCTCTTCCTCCAGGTGTTCGCCTGGGCCAGGTCTCTCTCCGAAGTCCCTCGTCTTGGTGTCCGCCGTCTCTTCCTCATCTTTATACGTCTCCCAAAAGTCACTCAAAGCTCCTCCCAGACCAGGGATCTCCCAGGCCTCCAGGAGACTGTTCCTCTCCAGTTCCTCCACCAGCTTCAGGAACGCCAGATCTTCGACGCTCTTCACCTTGGCTTTGGCGCGGTACACCTGCGCCACGCATCCCGAGCCCACAGGCTCCTTACCGTCAAACACAAACATCTGCCTCCATCCTTCCCCAAACGCCCGCCTCAGACAGAGCTTGGTGTGGGACCAGGGATGGGGCTTCACCTGCACATGAAGCCTTGAGAAGCGCTCGCAGAAGTCCCGTGAGAAGATGTCCCGTCTGGTGCTGGCCCATTGGCCCAGTTTGTTAAAAGTAGGTCCAGATGTTTCCGTGGCCCAAAGCAGGGCGTCCAACCAATGGGACGCCCAACGTTGTGATAGTAACATCAGGGGATACAGAATCAGAAGTGGGCTGAATTTGAGAAGCAGCACCAAGGCACGGATTCCCAAACGCAAGACGAATACTAACCTGTAGATCTGCACTCGGGCGACTGACTTCCTCTCTGTGGTCCTCCGCTGAAGGACAGCTTCCTGTCCAGCGGCGTAAGTGATGCCACATGCAGTCCAACACAACAGTCCCACTTTAGGGGCTTGAGAAAAAACATGAGTACCTTTAACGAGAAACACTCTACGGGGCGGGATTCGAATCGATACCCGGTGCACCAAGTACCTGAAGTTCTGGAGCAGGTGTCTTGTGCAGAAAGCAGACATATTTTTTTTATCAGTTATTAATTATTTAGACATTTACCAGTTTCTTTAGGACAAGTGTAGTGCACTTGCAATTGAAATCAGACATATGAAAACATATTATGATCATGCATACAGTATGTAGAATAAACATTCACTTATTAATGGGAAATTATGTAGTGATTTGCTTTAAAATCTACATGCAAGTTGTTCATGTCTTAGCATTAACTATGCATGCATGCACTGCAATGCAATTATAATATCATGCAGAGAACGATTCAAAATACAACGCGTAACTTAATCATAAACTTGCACTCTTTCGCGGCCAGATGTCCACAGTCGTGCTGTTTAGCGTCGCATCTCCACATTTTTACACGAATTTAGTTTAATTCATTCAAACGTTTGTTATGAAATGTTGCTCCTCTCCTCGGGTCCGGCTGATTATTCACTCCGTGTGAATCTCAACATTAGTTCCGCGGCTCAGAAGAAACGGGAAAAGGTAGACGCTTATCGAATAATCGATGTATTGATTTAGCGATTAATCAATTATGTGATATATTTAAAAAGCAATAAATCATCAGCTCAGCAATAATAAACACAAGACATGAATGAAATTTAAGTAGTCACTGAGGTGTATGTACTCCGTACGCAATATCAATATGATTAAAAATAATGACAATTAAAATAAGAAAATACTAATTAAAGAAATAACGAAAACAGAATGAGTAAATGTTTGAATATTTTTAACATATAAAAAGTGTAATTTTATTTGTTGCTTTGCAATTTGTATTTTTTTTACTTATTTTAATGTATTATTACGTGTATTAATTGTATTTATTTTTATTGTTGTTGTTTATATTAGTATTAATTATGTATTACTCCTCTCGTACTATAAATTTGACATTTTAAAGTTCAATAAATTATCTTAAAAGACTTTATCTCTTGGTCTTAATATTGAAAACTATTAAATAAATGCACAGATAAATGCACAAGCAAATATGTTTATCATTATTGTTAAAATATCAGACCATAAATATGTCACAATAAATAAATACGTCATAATATGTTTATTATATATCGGAGCGTGTACCGCGAATCTTTTTTTCTGATTTATTTATTTATTTTTATTAAACAGTACAAAACATCAAACCATTAAGCTGTAAAGTTATAAAAACAAAACAAAGAAAAGAAAAGCAAAGAAAGAAAGAATACACAAATACAAATAAAAATTAACTGCTTTTATTATAGTAAAAGTGTCCAAGGTGTTTTTTTTGTTTGGTTTTTTTTGTATAACCACAGTTTTACTACAAATACCATGGTTAAACTATGGTAAGTGTAGCAAAACCATGGTGAATTTGTGGTTACCATGATTTAACTATAGTGAAAAAACTTTTTTTTCACATAGGATGAATATAGAGATGTAGTTTTCACTGTTTTAGGATTAACAGAACTTCGGTTAGTTTCCATATACTTGTCTAGATCAACTTTGAATAAAGAAAAGAGCGGTTTAGAGACATATTTTTGTTTATGTATGTGAAATGTAGCTAGCACGAAACATAAATTAATGAAGTTATATTTTCCTATATTCTCTTTCGAGTAGTCAAACAATCCAAAGAAAACTATGTTTTCTTTTTTCTTCTTCTTCTTCTTATTTTATGCATACCCCGTGCGGGATCAGGATGGGTTCAGTAGGTTGGACCTTTTTTCGAGTAAAAAGGTCCATCCAGCTGAACGCACAAGGATCCCGCCGCACATGACGCACGCTTCACCCACAATCCCTCGCGCGGTCACAACATGGCAGACGAGCAGACGCAGGAGCTGCAGTCCGCAGCTGCACAAAAGCAGATTTTACCGAACGGAGGCTCTCACCTTCCCAAAGAAGACACGGATCCCGTTGACGAGACCGGGAAGAAAAAGAAGAAGAAGAAGAAGAAGGGAAAAGCGGGAGCCGTAGGTAATAAAGACGCAGGGGCGCCGCTAAGGGGGGAAAGTTAGGACGATTCTAAGGGCCCACGCACTTTTGAGGCCCCCAGAGATCTGTTTTATTAGTAGTAACAGTAGTAGTAGTAGTAGTAATGTAATAGAAATTATAAATGTATCTACCAAAGAGTTACAAATAAAACAAAATTACGGCTTATTTCTGCATTTCCGGCTGAATTTTCTCCCCCCATTCACTGCATGGTTTCGTCCCGTCCTCCGTAGCCTAGAGTCACTGAGTGAGATCAGATGGTAAACTGTCAAATTAGAGATGTCTTCGAGTTCGAGGGGGGCAAACCGAGCCGGACGACTTGGTCAGTCGCACTTTTAAACACATTTTAGTTTTGCTATAGAAAATCTACAAATTCACACTCTGATTACATCGAGCAGCAGCAGGAAGCGCGTGAGGTTGTCATGGCAACCAGATACACTGCACGCGAATTACGGCTGCGCTTCTATTTCGCCACACTAAACTTAGCAATAAACACGTTGAAAACATAATAATACACAATAAACATATCTGTCAAAATGATCTCAAATGAGGCTTTTATTAAGCAAATCAATTATGTTACTGATACCTAATGGTCAAAAGTAATAGGTCAATATTATTAAATTGCAGACAAAGATTTTGAATAGCTAGGCTGGCTTGCACACTATATTGCCAAAAGTATTGGGACACCCCCTTCTAATGAACAGGTTTGACTA